CTTGAATGCTTCATTGCTTTTTAATCGTAAAATCGTCGCAGTTGTAATCGATTACTTTCGAGCGATCGTAACTAAGGAAATCCACTTTAGCTAGCAGCGACGCAAACTTGAAGGCGATAAGTTACAAATCGATAAAATACATAAAAAATACAAAAGCCTTCGGCTTGCTCCAGATCACTTTTTAGCTTTGTTGTTTTTTTTTTTTTTTTTTTTTTTTTTTTGTTTGTTTGTTGACAAAACCTTAATTATGATGTTGGCCGCTCCTAAAAGCTTTGCTTTTAAACATTTCTGGTTACTTGATAGAGCTCTAGTTGAAAAAGAAAATAATTTTTAAAACTTGAAAAATGTAAAACTTTTCAAAGACACTTAGCGTACCTGCGCCTGCGCACAAGTCCTTCATGAAATTTCAACAATTGTCGCTGGAAATATATGCGTTCATCGGTGTAGAGAACGCGACCTGGGTATTACTTGGCAACATTTTAGAAACATTTAGAAACCCTGCATACGGTTTCGCCCCATCATACGCTCACTTATTTTCGCAAAATACGCCCGCCATACCGGGATGAATGGGAAATGATAATAAGGCTTTTCGCCTTTTTCTTCTCTTTTTCACGGTCGGCCTGAAATTATATCTCATTTCGATTAAATCTGAACTTGATCTGTTCTATTTTTGTAACCGCTACCAAACTCATAACCTCAATTATGGTCAGCCAACTATTTCAATAGACTTTTCTAAAACTTGACAAATATTTCGCATTTACGATTTACTCGATTTACACGGCACCAATACGATTCTCCGGTATTCATGCAGGCATACGAGCTGTTTATCGTGAAGCCCTAAATTTCTTTACTAATTTTAAATTTAAGTATGCGATATACTTTATAATATTGTTGTAATTTGAAAGAAGCGACAAAGTGCAGGAGGGTGCGATTTACAATATTCCTATTATATTTCAATTAAAGCGAGATTAAAACTAAATCAAAAGATCTATCAAATAGTCAAGTATGTAAGAAGTTTTGGCTAAAAAAAAATATATATATATATATATATATATATATATAACAGCTTCTACTACAAGAACTTAAAATTCTTTAAGTCATTTAGGTTTACAAAAAATATATATATATACAAAATATAAAAGCAAGTAAAAAGAAAAAAAAAAATTATATAATCCATTTTAATATAATTTTTAAGCGAGAAAAAAAGGATAAAGATAAACTAAAATGAATAACAATAAATTATTTCTAAAGTCACAATTATTATCTAAATCACAAAACTTAAGCTTAAGTTTGCTTAAGTTTGATTTATGCACAAGTAATAGTAGTAGTAGCAGTTATCCAATGACAGTCGCCGCCTGCGCGGACCCTCGCACTTGATGCAATTAATCATTAGCAATTAAAAACAATCTATTCAACGATTGAACACTTGATGAGCGAGAGTAACAAATAAGAAACGCAACTACCTTTGCTTAAGCATCACTTAATTCATTTCTAAACTACATAGGCACTCACATACAATTTATCCTTTTTAGCGAATTTTAAAAAGAAATTCATTTCATTCATGATTTATTTATGTATTCTTCAGAACATATGAAAGTAAACTCAGATGTTTTATAATTATTTTTAAGTCCTTTTGCTTTTCTTTCCGTAAACTTGTTAATATGAGCAGAATCTTAAGGAATGTACAGAGACGTACTGATGATTTCACAAAAACTGCTTATATTTACAAAATCTACGCAAAACTCTACATAAACTACAATCGCTCTCTATAAACTAAAACTGTTCCGATTTACTTTAAATTTTTTTGGCGGATGAAAAGACATTTGAAAGGAAAGCGCAACATGAATATTGATTGCATTCTTGTTGTTCTAGTTGTAAAAGCCATGTTTCTTGTTATAATTATAGAGCACTTTTTCAATTTCGAGCATAAATAAGTGCGCGTGATAAGAGGATCGATACATGTTATGGCACTACATTGTCAAGCACAATAGTTTGCCAACAGTAAGAAATTAATATTTGAAGCTTTTTTGTTTTTCTTTCTTTTTTTTTTTTTATAAATTTTCCTTACTATTACGCCACATGTTAAGCTAAAGATAAAAAAGAAGCGAATAGCTTCAAAGTCTTCGAAGTAGCTTACGAACTTAGGTACTTGCCTGAATGCATTTGCAACTCTGATGCATAGAAATCGATAAAAGGGGTAACGGAAGAAAGGGACGAAAAACATAAGTTAATGGCTTGATAACGAGATACGAAATACTTCATTAATACTATATATATACACTCTCCGCCTCTCTCTTTCTCTCTCTCTCTTTCTCTTTTTTTCCCCATACTTTTCTTATATGGTTTCTTTGTTCGCTAATGGGTGTGCCGATATGACGGTTAAGCTTCTACTACTTCAAGACTTCAAATATGTTAAAATTCTGAAAATCTACTCAAACATTACTTCTTGTCGGGTAGATAATTCGAAAGTGCATTCTAACCTCAATTTTTACTTACTGCTATTCGTAGATTTCGACAACATTTGGTATATAAGATAAAAAAAAATAAATAAATAAAAGAAGATAATTAATTACAATAGCAATAATGAAAATTTAAACAAAAATTAAAGTCACTTTGTAGCCTAAAATTAATTTAAAATAAGTTCAAAAATTTTATAATTAACAACACCTTGTAAATGCATAGAATTTAGAAAATCAAAGTATGTTATGAAATATTTTCCTTCTTCTCATATATAATATATATATATATTAATTTAATTTTAAATGTTTTTTCATATAAATACATATATGAAATTCTTCAAGAATTCTTTTCTTG